GGGAACATTTTGACGGCAGAACAAGGGGCAGAACATACCAGAATGCAGCCTCGACATGCATATTTGCTTACACCTTAAGAATTTGCCAGGGAATGAAAAGAGGAGCCTGCTTTCGGCCACTTTCTTTAATGTATGCAGATGAGTGGTATTTGGAATAACAACTCAGCACTGCCACCGTGCAAAAGCGTCGGTGAGCTTGTGGATCGTGGCAAAAGTGACCCATATTCTATTGTCCCAGTGGATTTGGCCTTGATTTTATTGCACTGGGGGGATCGAGTACCATCATGCTTACTGTCCAGTACTCTCGTGTGGCATTTTCTTCATCCGTAGTATGTAACAAATCAGAAAAGCACATTTCCTGAAGGTTGATACCACACAGAACGGAATCTCACAAAGCGTTTACAGTGCAAAGCAGCCCTCAGCTGTACATTAAATCTACTTTCCAAAATGAATATTTACAAGGTGTCGTTGATCCGCTTCCGTTCTACTTTACTTACAAGGTGTACTGGACCCCGCATGGTTGTTTGCCTACTCTTTGTTAGCAGACTCAGAAAAGCCCACGAAAGACCTCTATGGGCCGCTCGCTGTACACCGTCCGACATGGCTAAGACTGACTGAAGGCTCGCACCGACCACATATATTGGTTTATTACATTACTTAACCATATTTACAAGTTCATATGGACCTGTGGAAAAATTGTGAAGCGTGCGGGAAAAATGTACACGGGCGGTGCATACCCAACCATGCAGCCAAACTCAAGTGAATGGGCCCCACCTTTCAATATGTCCTCATTATTCCTCTTTGGTCTCGCCCACGTTCACTTTCTGTTGCAACCTGCGTCTGCCTTGAGTGACACTCTTTTCATGGATTAACATTTTGTACGGGAGGCCTCGGAACCCAAAACAGACTCGCGTCGCGGGGCGTCCATATATCACATTGCCCAATGTGAGTGGGTGAGGGGTCAACCGCAATGTTGTTGCAACGGTCCACTCCGAGGCGGTTTTGGGAAGTGTGCGGTGGCCCTAACGTCAGCGAAAGCATTGTGGGGTCTATTCCACTTCCGGGCGAACGCTCTCATGTGGAAGAGTGGGCAGAGATTTTGCACAGATGTCTCGAAGCGTCACTCTGTGAGACAGAGGTCGATGGATGGGTTCAAGGACTGAACAAGAGCCATCATCATGGACTCAGCTTCGACTTTGGATACACAGTAGCTAATGCATGAGCTCAAATCTGCTGTGAGATCATGCAAGCCAAAAGTAGCAATGGATCTATACTTTGGAAAACATGGTCAGCCAGAAAAGGGGCTGTTTTTAGGGTCTTTAGAGTGCAGCACCCGAGGGGAAAAAAAAACGGGCATATTGAGCTGACATCTTATCGGATTTGAGTCACAAAGGTACGAGACTGAACAAGAGCCATCATCATGGACTCAGCTTCGGCTTTGGATACACAGTAGCTAATGCATGCGCTCAAATCTGCTGAGAGATCATGCAAGCCAAAAGTAGCAATGGATCTCTACTTTGGAAAACATGGTCAGCCAGAAAAGGGGCTGTTTTTAGGGTCTTTAGAGTGTAGCACCCGAGGGGAAAAAAACGGGCATACTGAGCTGACGTCTTATCGGATTTGAGTCACAAAGGTACGGCGCATGATTTGAGTCTTAGTGGGGTCCGGTACTCTCAGAAAATCCTTCCACGTTTACGCTGTACTGCTCCAGACTGATGTATGGTGGAACGTCTTGACCAAACAATTCAGCTACGTACACAGTTTTAGGAGGAAAACCATTTTGACTTCGGCACTGTTTTACATTCGTAATTTGAGTATTAGCATGTACACGCGGAAGGATCAGCTGTGCTTCTTCACGCGATGCAGAACCATCACCGGCCCTGGGCCTCACTCATTGCAAGCTATCCTCTAGGATCAGCTGTGCTTCTTCACGCGATGCAGAACCACCGGCCGGCCCTGGGCCTCACTCATTGCAAGCTAGCTAGTTGATCTTCTTTTTTTGCTTATAATTAGCCCAAAGAATGGCTCTTAAGAAAAGCAAAACTGCTAGCGGGAGTGTTTTTAGGCCATCCACACGTGTGGACTGAACAACATTATTATTTTTGTGGAAGAATGATTATTCATGTTGCATTTACCAAATTGGGACAGAGGAGGTTTCGTCCCCGACGCTCGCGATGCGCTTCTTGAAGTTAGAAAAATGTAGCACCATCTAAACAATGTTCATTTGTAATCATTTCATTGCTTTAGATGTATTTGAGTATTCCCAGAAACTTTTTTTTGTTTTTTTGGAAGTTCCACGTTGACTCTCTTCATAAAATACAGTACGTCTCGTTCTGGACTTGCTGGCGACAGCAGTCTTGTCTCAACTAATCTTAAAATGTCAACTGATTACCTGGGGCTAGATTTGTTTCACTCCTGCACCTCCTTCATTGAAAACAGGTTTCTCATCTGACATTGATTACACCTTTCCTGCCTAAACTGGCAGGCTTCTTGCTAACCTTTCTCCTCAGTTTACTGGCGCTAAAGTTTCTCCCTCAGACCATCTCGTCTTGCTGTAGATGAAACATTTTTAAACGTCTATTCTCAAAACCGTGCCGTCTGCATGCACCGGTTGCCCTGTCATCAAAACAGAGTGCACAACCGGAGGACATCTTCAAGACATTTGCTCCCATTTACCGCATTTTTAGCGACCGCGTGAGTTGACAGTGAGGATGTTGTTATAACGCAACCATTGAAGGCTTAATAAAAATACAAAAATGTCCAAGAGTCGCTTTCTGAAGTTGCAGCATCTTCCCAAACGGCACATCATAATGCATCGTCGGAAGCGCAGCCAGCTTGCCAAGGTGAGGACTACGCGGGCCTCTCAAAAAGCAATTAAAGGAGATCGAGTCACGATATTGAATGTAGGGGGGTGCATTCCTCTGAGAGAAGCAGCTTCGGTAGACGGTGAAATTCACATCGACTGGAAAGCCAAACACAAACAGGTAGGCGAGACACTCCAGCCCCTCTCCCTCTCCCTCTCTCTCTCTCTCTCTCTCTCTCTCTCTCGTTTTTTTTTTTTAACCAAAATCAAAGAGAAGCGATGCCTGCCTCAGACTGCCAATTATCTCACTTGCGTCCATACGTCAGGGATGTGCCAATTCTAAAGCATCCAATGAAATTTTGGTTTCTACGGATCAGCGGGAGAAAAGAAGGCACACAAATACACCACAACCCCCACCCCCCCCTCCCAAAAAAATACAAATACAAGCTGTGTGCAAAAAGCTAACGAAAATGATATTTGAAATGTAAAACGAAAAAAGCTGCCCTCTGGATGTGCTCAGCGAGGTGTGAAATCCTTCTTGATTAAAGAAGGAAAACGACTTTGACAATGAACCGTGCCGCCGGTCCACTTAATTAAGTCAACTTGTTGGAGGGAGCGCTGGGAAATGGAAAGCAAAGCAAACAGGGGCGCTGCTGCTCGCTTCCTTGGCTTTTCTCTTGATGCTAATCAAAGGCTTGATCTCCGCGCTGGACGGGCCTCGGGGATGTCGCTCTGCTTGGCTGAGCCTGGCAATTTGCTCCTGATAATATGGGCTCCAACTTGGACCCCTGCAGAATCCACCTCACCTAATCTGTACAGCCTCTAACGCACAAAGCCAGACCGTCAAATCGCCAGGGACTGATCACATCATGGCCAACAAGTTATTACACGTCATCATTGTACATGGAAGAGTGACAAATGTGATTCAATACAGTCTGCATTTGATTAGCTGAAATGAGTGTAACGTGAGCCTGAAATTTATTTTTGCTTCCATCCAGAGAGATACACTGAAAATCGACGGTGATTAACGAGTGAAAGGTATGAATGAACAAGGCCAGCAAACAAAAGACATTCTGTATTAGGCAACTTTTGCCCAATTTGAAAACATGGCCGTGCCATGCTCTTTTTAAACTAGAGGAGGTGCATATTATTACCCCAAAAATAAATCAAACCGTTTTAGGGCCGCCCTCATCCACTCTCGCCGCACATCCTGCCAGGCCAGTGGCAAATTTGGCCTTTTATTAAATTGACAACTAGCGAGCCGGGTCGAGCCGATGGAGAGTTTGCGCATTCCGGCTGGTGTTTAGCCATCTCCTTTTTCACACAGTTTGGCGGAAGGGTGCGCACGGCCCATCGTGTGGAAAACAAGCCAGCGTCCAAGACAATGAAAGCCTATTTGTGGTGCATGGACACAACGCCAAAGAAAAACACCCTATGTGGCTATGGATGAAGGTGGGAAACAATCCCTATTCTATCAGATTCCCACAACGCTTATCGTGTGTCGAGGGTGTCGGGGTCCCAACCTGTCCCCTCTCAATCGCAGGGCCACTGCAAATGGGGTATTGAGCCCATGTCAGCAGGAATCAGCTTTGTCAAGCACTACAACAAGAATGGTCCTCGGGACAATTTAGAGTGTTCAATCAACCTGCCACGCACATTTTTGGAATGTGGGATGAACTTGGAATACCCAGAAAAACCCCGTGCAGGCACGGGGAGAACGTTAAACACTGTCTTGATATACAGTCTGGCGATACTCCCTAAGCACATTGCCTTAAAATGGAAACTGCTCTCAAATAAAACATGAAAGTGCCTCGCGTGACATGATTTAAGAGGGGGTCTTCATCTAACTCTTGAGCATTATCAGTTTTCGAGAAGAGAGTTGCAGGCAAGCCGATGTAAGGTGGTTCAAGGGAGATAATGGACAGGAGGCGCCGAGGGTGGGAAGGAGACGGTGGAGATGGCGGGTCAGGGAGTTTGCCAAGCCGATTTAGTCATCCCTGTTTGTCACTGTTAATCTCTGTGCAACTAACAGGCTGATAGAATCAGCCTGATAACCGCGGGAGATGGAGAGCATCAGAATAAGACCGAGTGAGTGAGAAAGAGATGTGATGTGAAGTGTGTGTGTGTCCCCCCCCCCCCCACCTCCCCAGGAAAAAAAAAAAATCAATCATTGCAATTGAACATGATCGAGTCTTACCTTTGAAGGAGACGAAGACGCGAGGTGCAGCCAGTGGCTCATTGCTCATTGGGCTCCCCAGAGCAAAGCTGCACAGCGCCAGGACGCTGCTGGCTGTCCACAGACTGTGCAGCTGCATGGCCGATCGACTTCCAGTCACACGCGATCAGTGATGTAATCCCCAAAAATGAAAAATAAAAAAGCTGCAGGAACAAAATTGAGCCCATCAGATAAAAACAAAAAAATGCACATTATAAATCTGGCAGATTTTGTGTGTCTCTTTTTGTTTATTAATTGATGTGAAATGTCAAGTCAGTGGCTCCCGGTGGGGCTTACCCCTGCAGGTTCTGGAAATGCAGACCTGAACTTTAGCTGGATGTCTCTCACAGTCAATGAATGCTGCTGGAACCGAGCCAAGCTTTTGGAGCTTTGTTACACATTTCCATTACGAACCCAAAAAAAAAATGTGTGCACGTCTGTGTGTTTTCCATCTCCAGAAAACAAAAGCACATCCCGGGCTGATAACTGATCATTCAAATCATTCAAATGATGGGTTGATGTATTCTAACATCCTCATGGTTACAGGGACCTTACAAGAGATAATTGGCACAGGCGAAAAATACAATACAGTATTGCTGACATTTGCATATTAACAATTCAGTGGGTGTGACTCACACATTTTAATTGGAGCCAAAAAATGTCATCAAGTCATACCAATTCTCGCTTCTTTGCATTGGCTTCCAGCTACTTTCCTTGTTTGTTTTGAAGCCTTTGAATGGACTGGCCCCACAATATATCACTGACCTCATTCGAGTTCACACTCCAGCGTGCGCACTGAGGTCCGGGAGCCAGTACCCGTACGCGGACACGAGGACGAAAACCATTAAAACCCGGAGGCAGAGGGATTTTTCAGTGCTGGAACGTTTCTGCCCTTCGACATTTGAACAGCCTCTACGGAGTGGAGGGTTTCAAGTCTGGTCCAAAGACTAACATTTATTCTCTGGCTTTTAACACTGAGTGAGTTGTGTGGTCCTGTTGTTGTTGTTGTTGTTGAGGGTTTTTTTTCCCTCATTTTCTTAATTGTTGTGGCTGCAAATCCAGATACTTTGGAACTGTCTTGTTTTTAAAATGTGCTCTATAAATAAAGTGGACTGGATTGGAAAAATAATTCAGGATGGACACATGAAGAAAAACTAAAACATATTTAGCTGTGATGTCAGATGAATTTAAGAGATTGAAAAAAAAAAAATCTCCCAAACATCATGACTGAACTTCGTACAATTGTGATGGCGACTGCACAATCATCTTTCTGCCACACACACATTTGACAGTTGGACTTGGTGTCCGCTTTTCAAAAGTCGGAAAAGACAAAAAGGCACCCAAATTGCTTTGCCGGAGTGGATTTATGAGCAAAACCAGCTGTTTAAACTCCTGCTTTTTACTGACAATTTGTTAAGGAGCCAGCTGTTTATTCTGAGACCGAAGCCAAGTCCTTCACACCAGCAGATGAAATCAAACAAGGCACAGAGAGCAAATGAAAAAGAGGAGAGAAGACGCTCCATTCAAGCGAATCTATTAACTGTGTACTCAGGTCAACTGCTGTGCGTCAATGTAGTATTTGATAGATTTGAATGCATTCACCAGAAGTACAATTTGGGGGGGCACCATTCAGCAGCGGAGGTGATCAATAATTCTGAATGCATGCACATTGAATTCAAACAAATCAATCTCTTGGATTCCTTAACAGGTTGATGAGACATATTCCTTTGCAATCACGTGAAAAATGTGGAAGAACGAGCGCGTGTGTGACAGACTGGCAGTCTTGGCTACAGCGCATTGAGCAGTCTGGGGAAAGGATTGGATCTCAAGTTAAAGTGAAAAGCTTCTTCAGTCCGGCATTTCATGTATACATTGACTTGGTGGTCGAGCAGTAGGGAGCTACTATTTCGCTCACATTTAAAATATATACAAAAGGCAGACAAATACCAGTGAAATAATAGTATTTAAATGGCAGTCAAAATCGCATTCCGGCAGGGAAAACGACACAATAGCGACAATCACCTACCTGGCTATTACAGCGTCGAGATTAACGGCCCAACTTCAGAGCTCGTGTGGCCGCTCATTGAAACAAAAATCCAAAATATCGATCTCTTCCGTGTCCAAATCAAAAATAATTTAATCCCGGCGCGGATTGTGAACGGCCCTTGTTCAGAGGCAACAGTCAAGTGTACCTGTGCGTCCTCGCCGCTATCTGACCACGTGAATTTTCAATGCTCCGAAATTCAAAAGGTGGGCAAACGTTTACTTCAGCCTTGGCGGCGCACGAAAGGCGAGCGCCACGATCCACATCTCTTGGTGGGCTGGAAAGCAGCGTGGAACAAAGTCCCCGAGGTGGAAGAGGTCCAGACACGCAGCGTGGGGCTCCCGGCGAAAAGTTGCCCACTCCTGACTGACTGGAGAGAGGCAGGGCGGGAGCAGGTGGATGCGGAGGCCGGCTCGCCGTGAACACACCCACGGGGCGGGCAACACCGAGGCGAAGCGAGCCGCCCCTCCGCCGGCCGGCCCAAATCTCACTTCGACCGCGCTCGACTTCCTTCCCTGTCGGTTTCCGACCGAATCACGCTCCTTTTTTTACACTTGAGAGCATTTGGCAAACGTCTCGGGAATGAGGCTAAAGCTTCTCATATTTGTGTTTGTGGAAGACGGGAGGAATGTCTGATTTTAAGATCAGTCTTGGTTGGCAATGTCCATGTTATACAGTGGTGCACCCTCGGCAAAATCTCATCAAAAATTGGTGGTTAAGGCAATGCTGATCAGTTTGCCTTTTTTTTTAAATTGCCACTGTCAGTTGATTTTACAATCGTCTCTTATTGTGGCTGAATTCTGCATTGATCAAAAACATGAGTGCACCTTTGCATCGAGAGATCAACGCAACTCCTCAGCATTATTATAAGTCGGTTTTACTGAATTAGAGCACAGACAATGTAACGAATGTCGCTTCCATTTATTCCAAATTTAAAGTCTTATCTGGGTAATTTATTACTTGGAAAGGGGGAAGAAATTTAATTCGGACGATAGGCTGAAATTGATGATAACGTGTTTAATTTGTTCTTTTATTCACACGATGATTGGACACTTTGGTAACACAGCTGCAGCACCAAAGTGCGTAGTGAATAAGATTGTCCCGTTTTTTTTAAATCCTATCCACTCTATGTCCTTTCTCATTCAAACTACCTGACCCTTATTCAAATCCAATCTGGTTCTTTAATATGCAGCTGATTTGCCAGCGAGCCCATCTGAGGTGGAAAAAAAGTTTGTCAGGTGTTGAGCTGTCACCTCACAAGGGTCAAAGGAATCCGTCCTGTTCATCTTTTCTCCCTTGTGGTGACGGGCTGTTGACTCCGAAGTCGTCAATCTTCCAAGTGATCCAGCATGAAGAATGCGTTTCCAAGCGTTTTGCGGCCAAAAAGGAGTCGTTTCACTCCGTGCGAGTCGACATCATCCGCATTCAGGACAACATTTCTCTTTGAGACAAACGGTTGGAATTCTTCGGAGGAATGGCCTTTCGATTCCACAAGACCATGTCATTCCACATTTTGGATCCATTCAAGGCCTTTGAAAGGACCCAAACTGTCAACTGACAGCTTTGGCAGCATCAACAGCACCGGCGCACGCTTGCGCGTTCTGCTCGATGCAAATCAAAGGTGAGCTGTGTACACTAAGCCCAAAAGCCTCCATACTCTTAAGTGGCCTTGCCAGATAATATTTGTGACCAGAATCTTGCCGGTGCATGTTTCATCCCTACTGTTGACATCTCTCCGAGCGGTTGTTTGAAAATTGTTTTAATGTTGCGTGGGGAAAGCCGCATTCCTGCTGAGATGGGAACTGTGATTTGGAAGGGGCTCTGCCTGCAGGCCATGTCGGATGGCAGGTGTTAAATCAGCATTTTGGATGACGGCGGGGTTCAAGAGACAGAAAATCCAACTTTTTCAGAATGAAAGCTCCCCTAAAGGCTGCTTGTGTACTTGTGTTGCGCTGAAACCTTCTATCAACGGAGCCACATTTTCCCATTGCTTGCATTTGTCATTTTCGGTTGGGTAGAAATGAACCGCATCGGAGTGGCGACGACATTTCGGCCCGTTCGGCCCGTTTGGCGTAACTACACAAGGTCGACAAATTACAGAGGGATCATGATTAGATACGCCGCTACCATGTTCTGTGTTTTGCAGAGTTGCTTTTGGTTCGATTCGAGGGTTGTCGTGTTTTCCTTTCTTTGCTGTCTCAGTCCCTGTCAAGTCAACTCAAGTCTTGCGGAGTCTTTTTCCTACTCTTGCTTTTGGTGTTGTAAATCTTATTTTGGACTTCTGATTATTTAATATTGTGGATTCGCCAAGTACTTTCTTTGCTTTTTTTTGGGGGGGTGATTTTGATATTAAAAGTTTTTTTTCTGTGTGCCCTGCCTCGCCTCCCAGCTTCCCTGCAATTGGGTCCCCCCACCCTGCCGTACCATAATAGCGCAGTTATACATCACTGCCAACTGCAACTAGGCTAGTCGAGCCATATTCTCCCATTCGCACTAAGGTGTTCTCTCAGTTTTTTTGTTTTTTTTAAACACACATCTTGTGCATTTTCAAGGTACATCGATCCTCCTGTCCAGACGTCCGACACACCCGGCAGGCGTAACCTTGAAATTCGTGCACAACCACCAAAGAGGCGAGTGTTGGTGAAGTCCGAGGGTGGCCGCGATTTGTGGATCGTGGAATTTTTCATGAGACATGAATTTCCATAAAGGACCCCTTTGAATGTACGTCACACTTTGAATATGAATGAATGAATGAATTGAAAAATACTGCGCTCACGACTGAGCTTCCAAATTCCAAGCCAACATGTGGAAATGGAAAAAACAACAACAACAACAACACCAACAAAAAGTCATCTGGCGCTGATCCTTTTTCAACAATGAATATGCTATCATGTCAATGTTCAGCTGTCGGCGTAATGTGGTCGGAACACATGACGTCCGTTGAGCAGACATGAGTCAGGTGTGACTTGCGCCCACCCGCCGCATTTCCGCACGGGCCAAATCGTAGCAACTGAAACGACTCAGAAGAGCAAAAAGATGTTTCACCTTCACTCTGGAGCGCAACGTCCTCAAAGTTATTAGCATTTAAATGAGAAATGAAGCAGCGTATCTCGAACCACCGCAAAACACGAGTTCATTACTTCAATGCGAGAAACTTTTCTCCTCCGAGTACGACAGCGACGTGAGTACAAGTAGTGTATTGAAGTCAAAATTTCGTCCAAAGATTGACTGACAACGTGGAGCCTTTTTTAACGGGGGAAAGAACCAATAATGTAGCAGGTTCCATATTTCTGGCTCAGTGATCACTCAGAAGAGAGTGACTCACTCCTCTCGGTTGATTGGAGTAAGCTTGGACCACCGTCGTTTACTTCGGCGCTGCGCCTTCGAGTAACCGTGTCTTCTGTTGTTCTTGGCAGCCGGCGTGGCTCAGTTCGCATTTGCAGGCTTGCTGCCAGGGCGGACCCAGCCGCAGCCCGCTAACCCTTGCAAGCCACGGCGGCCAAAGTGAGGGAAACGGCTTTGATTTCCTTCCACTTTTCACACAGCAAACGAGTCAAGGAAATGGGACCATATTCTGTCTTGAACAAGCTGTGCAAACAAAGCCAAGCCGCACAATGTACAGCACGCGTGTGTCATTTTAAATTCGGACCGCGTCGGGCACAATATGGTGGCTATTTGGAGAAGCAGGTGACTTCATTTCGCTCCTGCGCTGCTCTGAATCAGTGTTGACACTGCGCGAAAGGTAAATACTCTCAAGCTGTGTCAAATCACAAGCCACCGCATCAGCCCTGGAGGAAGTCGCTAATCCCGCGGAAGAATCTCAATAGCCCTCTGTTCTCAAATAGTGAGGCCCCTCCCCCCTGCCTCCACAATTATTATTATTATTGTTGAGATCAATTGCTATCCATCCATTTTCTATACTGCACATTCTTTTTAGGGCCTCAGGGAGGGGTGGAGCCCACCCCAGCTGACTTTGGGTAAGAGACGGGGGTACACTCTGGACATGGTCGCGGGCCAATCACAAGACACATAAACACAAAGGACCACTCACCTTACCGTCACCCCCGCATTGCCATTCACACCTTATGGACAAGACTTCATGCACTGCGCACGTCACGTATCCGGAAGAGTTTCAAACCGGATTGGAGTCATATCATTCGAACTAACATTGTATAGCAATATTGTGTCAAATGTTGCCCACTCGGCATCCCTTGCAGCCTTGTCATCCTCCCATCTGCAGCCCCTTCTCAAGGTTTCTCCCCAGATGGGGTTTTGGGAGTTTTTCCTTGCCCTCCTGGGGGTTCGGGTCAGGGGATGTCGTTCATGTATGTCACCTGTGGGCATGTGAAGCCCTTTGACACTGTTTGTGATTAAGGGCTATAGAAATCATTGTAACTTGACTTGACTTGAGTGAAATTGTGGCGGTTATCATTCACATGCAGCGTCAATCTTCTTTGCGTATCGCAGGTGTCGGCAGGAATCCAAAAGCATTTTCCAACACATTAGATTGTTTGAAATAATTTGTTCAGATTTGGATAAGGGTTCCTCTCTGACAGTGACAACATTGACTCGGATTCATTGTTGAGGACAACATTCAACACGTGAAGGGGGCCCCAACGTGAGAGCAGCGACACAAATCGCAGATCATGCCGCAATGTCAAGATGACAAGGAAGTTGACCACTCATCCAGGAAATTGCATTCGGTTGCATCGGTGATACTGAGCTGCAATCACGCCAACCTTTAACCGAGGCCTCTTCATTCAGCTTTTGTATCCGGAGCCAGACGGGATACACCCTTCCTTTCCAACAGCTGCACCCATTCCACCAAATACCACCGCATTTCAATTCAAAGATATTCACTTGCTTGGGGGAACCGTTTCAATAGAAGTTGACCAGCCGAACACAAAAGCATTCCGACGGAAGACACGATGACCACTCATGCAACAATTCCCGTTCAGTACCGGTGTCCTGTACCTCGTACAGAGATGTCGGCTATTCTGACTGGAGCCAGAGAGGAAATAAGATGAAGTGTTTCCCTTCTGTGCTGACGTCGGTCTCTTTCCTCTACATGGGATACTGGTGCCATGGTTACGCTTTCAATATTTAAAGGTCTGCCCGGACACAGACTCTATTAGAGGGGCGTTCATGTTCAAAACTAAAGCAGGAAGCGATTCTCCAAGTGCCCACACCCAATTTTCTATAATCACATTTCTTGCACTTGGATATACTCGGAAAAGAGGATTACAAGTATTTATTTTTGGACAAGACAGGTTGGACAAGCAGTGCATGCGTGGCAGTGGTATGATGTGAAAAGGACAGTTTGGTTTCAGTCCTTTGTGGAGAACAGAACATGTAACCCTG